CAAAAAGAGGTCTTAGAAGAAGAGGATTTGAGTGTTTGAGTTTGGAAAAGTGGACGAGGGAAAGGTTGCAGTTTCAACAACTTGGGTCGTCTTCTCTATGGAATTGGAAAACAAAGCAACAAACAGTCCGTCGCCACAAAAGGACCCAGGAATCCGGCCGGAGAATGAGGAGCAAGGTTCGTCGGAGAAATATCTCGATGCACTGCTTCTTTGCCTGAACGAGATCCGTGCTCAGCAGCCCGTCACCACCGCAGCTTCAAGGAAGATGGGATTAGGGTTTTTTGGGTGAGAGATTTTATTTGTTGGGCGGCGATGGCGTAGAGATATATGATATTTTTTTTTAATTTAAAATGTGACGTGTCGTACATGTGGTATGGAGTGATGAGGTGGACATGACGTGTAGTTTAGGTTGCATCCACGTCAGTTTAGCGTCCACTTAATTGACAGAGTAATTGACGGTGTTAAAGTATTTAACGAAAATGGCTAAATTTGACAAATAAGTTTTAAAATTAAGGCTATATCTGTGTATTTTTCAAAAAGTGGCTATTATTGTCACAAACTCGATAATTGTGGCTATGCCAGTGTATTTTGCCTTTTTTTTTTTGACAAAAGATAATCATATATTGATTCACAAGAGATAGCATTACATCCTGGAACAAAGCCAGGTCTGAAAATTAAAAAAGCGACACGTAGACGGGTACAAAGCAAGGGCCTTTCTAGCCACAACATGGGCTACCCTATTGTTCCTCCGTCCTACAAAGCGCAAACTAAACCCCGGATTATGCACCATACATTCCCGAATTTCTTCCAAAACCATCCCAATCCTACTATCCCCAGTATCCGCTTGGTTGATCTTGTCGATAATGACCTTGGCGTCTCCTTCAAACCTCATCTCCTGGAAACCATGGGCTACACACCACAAGACTGCTTCGCGGAGAACAAGCGCATCCACAACCAACGGATCATCAATTGACCCAAACTGAATAACCTGGGCTTGAAGAACCTCCCTATGAGAATCAAGAAGCACCATACCACCAGCCGAGTGAGACCCAGCCTTCGTAGCCCCATCCCACATACAAACCATCATGGAATCATCATCCTGAATCGGAGGATGGGGAGTGGGGCGAAGACCCTCAACCCTGTCTACTGGCACCCGCGCCCATTCCTCACATTGCGGTTGCCATTGGCGCATCAAGGCAGGGAATCCAAACTGCTTGCCTTTGAAGACAACCCAGTTACGCGACTTCCAAATTCGCCAAAGCACTGCAACCACAGCCAAGATCATCGGAGGGTGACGGAGTAAGGCAAACAGCCGTTTGAGAAACAAGGGAAAAGTATGTCGCGGCAAGCCTTGCCCAATATGTTCTAACCCTGATAAATCCCATAAAGCCCTGGCCACTGGACACTCCAGGAAGAGATGTTCCATAGTCTCCTTCGCTTCCCAACAAACTGGACAGCGCGGAAGGACAAGAACACTTTTCTCAATGAGGCCCTCCGTGGTAGGTAAGATGCGGTTCAGAATCTGCCAAACAAACACCTTTAACTTCAGGGGAATGTTCGCCTCCCACAGCCAAACCCAGCTGGTCTTATCCATCCAACTCGCCGTTGCTCTCCATCCTCCATTCCTTTTATCCAGATCCACCGCAAGGTGATAAGCTGATTTCACAGAAAATTCCCCCTCCGACGTGCAATGCCAAATAATCTTGTCTTCCATGTTCCGGCGCGGCAGAGGGATCGACTGAATCAAGCGACAGGTTGACGGATCAAACCATTGCCGCAGTTTAGTCTCACACCACCCCCCTCCACCCGGGTCTAAGACCTCTGCCACTACAGGTTCACCACCTTCCGGGAGCACCTGAGGGTTATGGACAGGCTTAGCAGGATGCAACTGAGGAATCCAGTTTGAGGATAGCAAAAGCGCTGACTCTCCATTGCCAATTTGCCAACGAAGCCCTTGCTCAAGCAGCTGCCTCCCATAGAGAACACTCTGCCACCCCCAGGAAGGACGCGAGCGCGCTTGAGCTTGGAGAAACGTCCCCCTAGGGAAGTATTTCCCTTTATAAACTTGAGCCAGCAAGGATTGAGGTTCCTGGAGAATGCGCCAGCCAATTTTAGCCAAAAGTGCCTGATTAAATTGTTCAAACCGACGGAACCCCAACCCCCCCTCGTGCTTGCTTCTGCACATATTCCTCCAGGACATCCAATGAATCCTCGACTGGCCCTCCGTCACACCCCACCAGAACCTTGCAATGTGCTTATCAAGGAGCCGGCAGAGCGATAGGGGCAGCCGGAAGCAAGACATAACATGCAGAGGCAAGCAAGAGCAACCGATTTGATCAGAGTCTCTTTAGCTGCCAAAGACAACGTGCGTTGCTTCCACCCTTTTAATTTTTCCAGCAACTTCTCCTCCAGGTAGCGGAAGGTAGCCATCTTTGATCGAGCAATCAGGGTCGGGAGTCCCAAGTATTTATCCTGAACCCCTACCGCTCCCACCCCCAGAATCGCGGCCAGAAATTCCTGATCAGCGGGGATAATGTTCTTACTAAAGCAAACCGCAGATTTATCCAGGTTAACCCGCTGGCCGCTCAACTCCTCATATTCATTTAAAACCTCGATCAAATTCTCACATTCCTGGAGATTTCCTCGCAGGAACAAATAAGAATCATCCGCAAAGAATAAATGAGAAATCCGAGGAGCTTGCGGAGCAACCTTGACTCCTTCCAACCTCTTATCAGCAATTGCTTTCCGAAAAATAGCAGCAAAGCCTTCCGTACACAGCACAAACAGCAAGGGAGACAGAGGATCCCTTGTTGGAGCCCCCGGGAGGGCGAGAAGAAACCCGATGGGGACCCATTCATTAAGATCGAGAACGAAGTGGACTGAAGACATTCATGAACCCAACCAGTCCAAACCGAGTTGAAACCCATTTTCTCAAGGACTGCGAGCAAGAAGGGCCATTCAACTCTGTCATAGGCCTTTTCCATGTCAACCTTAAGAGCCATGTACCCTTTCTTACCAACTCTGTCATTGGCCTTTTCCATGTCAACCTTCAGAGCCATCTCAACCTTCAGAGCCAAAACTTGATTTACAGAATACTCAAATATTGTGTATTTTTTTATACCAAAACTTGATCAAGAGTACTTTCCCCACTCTTTCCATTTTGATTGAGGAAAAAGAAAGCAAATGGGACACCAGAAAATCATCTAAAAGGGAAATCGATGTTGGGCCGGGGAAACTAATAATTAGAGTATCGGAGGAGAGAGCTTCACGTTTAAAGACTTTGACCAAGTTGGCCTAATATCATGTCTGCCACGTTTTGGAAGATTCTAATGACAACTTAATTGTCAATACTTAATATTAAACCTTAATCAACGCAATAAACTAATGTCAAGTGATCACTGATCAGTGATTCCCTCTGGGTTCATTCTGTAGCTAGAAAAGGCGCTTAGATAAATAGATTTTACCTTTCTGGGTTATGTGGGACTTGATTTGTGTAGTTGGTTAACAACAATGTCGTTAAGTTTACTATGGTAAATGTACATGAACAATCGTTAGTATTATATACTTGCGTTATGAAATGCAAATGATCTATTGAAAAAAAAAGGTCAGTGCAGATTTCCCCAGAACCATCGTTTAGCCCTTCATAATGCCATCAACAATGAGGTGGTGTGTTTGTTTTCTCCTCCTCTCCTTTGCTTCTTTGCACGGCTAGTTTCTTGCTTGCACACAATAAAAAACAGTCACAAAGCTTGGCTCGTTGGAACCTGAAGAGCTTAGCAATGGACTATCTAACAAATTGATATTTACAAAAAAACGGCTTTTAAGTACGTTTGAGGGGACAACAAGCCACATCTTTATTGGTACTTTTCATGGGGTAAGAGCAAAAGAATGTAAGACGAAGTGAAAAAGAAATTGTATTTCTGCTAATTTGGGCGATCAACATGCTGTTGGATCCCTTCCACGTGTTTCTAGTCTTCATATCAATACAATAACATTATTTAACTATAATAATTATTTAACTATAACAATGTAACCAAATTCAAATCAATAATTGTATGTACATCAGTACATAGAAGGACAATCCAACGATGTCAACATGCACTGATCGCTTCCTGTACAGTATCCGAATTCCAAATACAATATGTAGTTCTCCAATGTTAGAGTTGAATTGTGAGACATAAGTGGGGGGTTTTCCACTACTACACCGACTTTTCGATTTCTTCTTCTCGGAGGTTTCATGAAACTATTTGCCACAGCGTGAAACTATTTGCGTGATCATGTGATAATTGTTAATTTCCAAAACGAGCAGAAGGATCAGCAGGAATCATTAGATTAAGGGCCCTCATTTTCAGATGGAACTGCAAGTGCTTTCATAGTCATTTTTTAAAACACGGGCCTACAAATTAAATAGTGTGCTCGGTGCCGAAAGTGCTTCAATCGTCGCTGGCGGTTGAGGAAGCGAAAGCGAAATCAGATACGAGGGAGGAGAAGGTAGAAAGATGCTTTTGCAACTTGCAACTTGCAACTTGCAAGTGTGGGGAAAATTGCCGTCGCTGGTCCGTCCCAATAGATACTCGAGGAGTCGCTCAGAATGGCAACAAAATTGCAATGTTGTCAAAATCGTACTGGACCATGATTCGGTGATGCGAATGGCTTGTCCTTTTATGGTCCAATCGATATTAGACCATTTAAAACCGTTAGAGAACTGGTACCTAATAAACGTTATCAGTATAAATAGTGGACATTTCTTAATCAGAGCTCATCTCTTTCCTTCGAAATTGTGAAATGAAAATAAGGATTCAGTTTGAGAGCCCGACGTCTATGGTTTATTTCAATTTTCTGCAATTTTTTAATTAAATTTAACGGCTGAATGACAAAAACCGGACGAGCGGCTCGAACGGGTCGAATGGTTAACCGCCTCAGCCGCTCATCAACCGATACATAAAACCGGAGCGGCTTTTAGACTGTTCCGAGCCGGTTTTGTAACCAGGTGGCAGTTTTACCGGTCGGGCCGAGCGGCTCGACTTTAATAACACTGCAAAATTGACTCCTTTTTGGTAAGTAGTTGGCAGCTGCTCTGAAAGAAACCCTACAACACAAGGCTACTACAGGCCAACCAACACATCGCAAAAGCCCACAATCCAGCCCATGAAAGGAAACACACAGCCCAAATGAAGCATCAGAACACGTCCATTAATAAACTAACAAACACGATTGTTCCAACAAAAGACTGAAGAAGATTATTCAGTTTAACAAGTGGGAGCCGATACTAGGAAGCTATCTCTCTCTCTCTTACACACCAAGAAAGAACAACGCCAATGGCGAAGTTACTTACTTACCTTACTCATCCGCCTCTTCTTCTTCTTGTTCGAGCATCTGCACGACTTGTGCGACGCCTTCAGCGATCTCCTTCCTGATGGTGCCGTCGGGCATGTCGAATGTCCGCCTCCTCATCGAAAGCGACCTCCCACCGGCGGGCTGTGGGTCCACCACGTCCAGCATGGCTTCCAGCTCATCCACCATCGACCTCTTGGAAGACCTCACCATCAGATCGGCTCCCTGAGACAAAATCATTCAGCACCCGCATTACATTATAGTGGTCTATTCAACGACCGTGGAGTTACATCAACTCTAGGCTTGGGCCACATGAAGAATCATTTTTCCATATCTGACATAGTAACGGATTGAAAAATGAGACATCGAACTAATTGACCGATCACAAAAAGGCTAAGGAGTAAGGACTATTAGAGAGATCAAGTGGCACGCTAGCTTTGTTGAAAGTTGATGGCTACCGAAACCAATTGTAGACTGAGAAACATAGTCCAAACACAGTGCGTGCAAGGGATGGCTACCGAGAACAAATCATGCATAGTCATATGCATTTTTCCACTCAGTATCTACATCCATAGAATGCACCAAAATTTCTTCTTTCTTAGCATATGCGCTCAAAAGATTTGACAAAGAATTCTATAAGACGTCCCAGTTGGGCATGATTCACCAAAACTAGATAAAGATGCGACAGTAGGGAAGACCTTCCATCTTAGAAATTATATACTTAAACCAACTATGTATAAGGTTGGGGTTTCGGATTATGTAATTCTTCCATCTAGTAACTAGAATGTTTGAAAAGGGCAGTACCAATTACCTAGCCCACATAAAGATGCAGCTCAGAGTGAATGAAGGTTCAACTCGATGCATGAAGACATTCTAGCCATAAAGAATTCGTTGGCCTACAGTTCATGTGGCTCAAAGAACTTGACGCATCCAACAATGCCCTGGTATCTACGGCAAAATTGAGGACCAATGTTCAAGTTCAAACTAAAACAATATCCAATTCAATGCACACCAAACACTTAATGCCGAATCAACCAACAGAAGCCAAGAGAGCCAGTTGCTTGAATTGATAGACGATTCAAGCATGATAACTCTGTAATGAGACGGGCCTCAGCAGGACCATTAAAGACTCCACATCAATCGGAAGGCAACATCTTTAACTACACCTCTCTATTCATTCTAACAACCCACTAACTGGAACACACATCCTACCTTAACCATCTACTCAAACAATGTACTTTCGCATAATGGAAGGCACAGGGGTCGACTAAATGCAGGTGATTGAGTAAAGTTAGAAGAAGAGAACTTTAGTAGTTACCTCAATGGAATCAACAGTGAGCAGCAGGACAATGATCCTCTCAGTGAACCTCTGGCGCTCTTCAGCGTCCCTGGAAACTTGACGACGGTAAGAAAAGTTGTTAAACATTCCCCTGATCTCCTTCAATTTGGCCTTGGCGATCGCCAGGTCTCTGAGAGCACGAAGAGCCTGCGACCTCCTGATCAGGTAAGCCCTGAAAGTGATCTGGATCAACAATGCTGCATCTTGTGGCGACAGTTCCTTGTTCTTCCCCTTCATCGACCTCAATGCCCCAGCTCTCTTAGCAAATGCCTTCAATCAACAATGAACAAGTCTCAGCTTATCACAAATGGAGAAAGTGAGCTAATTGAGATCACTGTGTAGTTTTCAAATTTACCTGTCTAAGAACCACAACGCCATGATCAGCTTCAGGCTCTTCAATCTCCACCACGCGAACTCCATTCTTCTTCGGTTTCTTCTCTTCCACTTTCTTCACCTCCTTCTTCTTGTCCTTTTTGCCCGATTCACTGCTCTTATTCGCATCCCCGCCGCTGGATACTTCAAATACATACTTCCTTGATTCCTCTCCCTTCCCCTTAATCTCAGCCGTCCACTTGTACTTCTTCTCCACCGGAACTCTCTTAACCGGAACCTGCTTCTTCTGCTTCACCTCCTCCTCCTTCTCTGCTGCCCCCTTGATCTCCGCCATCCACTTGTACTTCCTCTCAACCGGACCATTGATCTCCGCCGTCCACGTGTACTTCCGGTCTCCAACTTTCCCCTTCGACTTGCTCACCAGCTGCTCAAACTTCGACTCCAGAGCAGTCACTCGATCGGAGATCCTCTGCAGATACAGCTCCGGCGCGGCGGCGCGCTGCTGGACCCTCTTGTAGGAGCAGTACGACGGCGTTTTCTCCACCTGTATCAGATCCGTCACCGTATCAAACAGCTCGAACCCGCTGCTGGCTCTCGGGGCCAGCAGCTCGAACGCCGAGCTCAGCTCGTCAACTTCCTCATGCTCGGAAATGAACGACGACGGGAAACCGAGCGCTCCGGGAGGGAAAATGGAGGCTTCATTCAGGAACAAGGAAGAAGCAGGGCAGTAGAATGGATCGAAGATTTCGATTCGGCTGGATCGCCTCATGGCTATGAAACTTAGCGAGTCGGTTGAGAACGAGTTGGGGAATGAGCGAGTGGGTGAGTGACGACTCGGGTTTGCTCGCTGGATCTCGATCAGACGGTGATGGCGATGGCCATCGACCAATAAAATGGAGTTTTAGAGCAGGAAGAAGACAAGACTGTGAGAGGACCGAGGAATAAACTATGATTCAAAAAAAAGTGAGCGACAGGGGTAAATTAGGGAATTCATTGGGTACAAAATAATAGAGTCGTTGAGTTGGATACTTGGATTCGGTGGATAAGGATTTCTAGTTTTTAGCAGAAATCAAATCTGTTACGCCGCATATATTTTGGATGGGGAATGTACAGAATTGGCCTCGTGGATTTGCGTTAATTACGGGGGACATGCGAATCTCGGAGTGCGATTAGGATGTGCGCCGCAGAGCGTGTGGGGCCGTAATGTATCATATCCCCCCACGTGATTTCTGGCGCGGGGCGTGGGATTCTGAGTTTATGGGCTGGGCCGGAGTTGTAGTTTGGTCAATGTGGCCCGTTCTTAAACGTCAGCAGACTAGTACATGTACGATGCTTAGGTTTTTTCTTTGCATGGAAGTTTCAGGGCCCATTGGCTTCCTATTAGTGGGCTGGGCCGTATTTAGCCCATCCTTTTTCCTTGGACCGTGTTTAGAGTTGCCCTGTACATTTCAATTTCTTAAACATGTTATAAGAGCAAGAAATCTTAATAAGACGATACTTAGAAAATCCAGACATCTAACTAGTAGTTTGCAAGAGCAGTTTCTCTACTAACTTCACAAACATACCTCAGCATTTGAGGGGTAGTATGACATACTATTGACTCTCACGTCTAAAAGATGGGTAACAAATGAGGATAGGTGAACTTCAAAAATGAAACTCTATCCTGAATCAGTAAATTGAATTGTATCGAACTGATATTTGAAATTAATCGAATAAATCTAAGTATACCTCAATCTCGCAAATATCTTATATATGAAAGTAAAATACACGAAAATTGAATATGAACCGGACCAATAGAATGTAATAAGTTTTTGTTTCGATTGTGATACTTAATTTTGTTCGGATCTTATCTCAATTCAATCTGATTCTATACCGACAATGACTTTGGCATATATAACTAATATTAACTCTGTCAATTTACCGCATTGAATTGGTTCTCTCTGCATCACTAGTCCGCCTAATGCAAAGAGTAAGAACAAAAAATACTTTGAATTTCAGTTGCTCATGAAATTTCATTGGGATCTGAGACAAGGAACAGAGGGTTTTTGCCACAAATAATCCGTTTTGAATACATTATTGTGATTTTTGTACAAAAGCACAGCGCCGTTGCAAAAATACAGCAGTCGAGTGTCTTCCAAAATGGTGATTCAAATTATTTCGACACCTAAAACATTTTGATTCAAATTGTAAACGGTGCCCTTCATCCTTCCCTCTGCTACTAATAACTAAAGCTAATCTCCAAGTTCCAATCAAATCGAAGCTCCTTTGGTCAGCTCCACGTTCTATAGACCTAAAGCTAACCCACTGAATTTGGTCGAGTTTTTTTTTATAAGGGTGAATTTATTAAATAGAAACAGAACCAAAAAACAAAAAGAGACAAACTCCATCACCCAAGGATCGCCAGGAGTGATCCAAACTGGTTTGGAGAAAATAAAGTCCAAAAGCAAAGAAAAAAAAGGAGAAAACAACAGCTCCTCCAACAAAGGGAAGATCCAAAAAAAGTGACAGCAAAGTTCCCTCAACCCCCCACCTCACCCAGAACCAATACAATTTGCTATCTCTGTAATAACGGGCACAATTGATTAAACAGAGTGATCCAAACCATTCCATCTTGCAGACTGATAATTCCGTTGGCTGAACTCCAATTCAAAAGTGTCCTTTCGATCTTGTGCACAATCACACGCCATGGTTTCGACTCATCTTTAAATGTTCTAGCGTTCCTTTCCTTCCAAATTTCCCACGTAGCAGCATGAAGTAACCTGTTCTTGAACCATTCTTTCCAATTCGTGTGGTTGCTAGTTGGCCACCCACTAATCAGCGCATCAATGTTACAGGGAAGCGGGTCAATCCACTCCATGATCGCTTGCAACATCGTCCAAATCTGCTTTCTGTAGTCACATCCACAGAACAGATGATCCACAGTTTCTTCAGCTTTGTTGCACATCACACATCTACTAGCTAGCTTCCAGCCTCTCCTTTTAAGATTATCGTGAGTAAGGATCCTTTTATGCATAACCAACCAAAGAAATGCTGTAACCTTCGATGACACTTGGAACCTCCAAATCACCTTGTAGGGGAAACCCGCCACACCTGGACGCATGATGGAATTGGTGTAGCAATACATAGACTTTACCGTGAACAGAGCACTCTTTGTTGGCTGCCACACAATTTTACAAGGACATGCACCAAGCAAATCAGGAGAAATGGATGACAAAACATGAAATAAACTCTCTCTCTCCCTCTCCGCCCCACCCCGTAATGCGAATTGTAAAGGAATAACCCAGGAAACACCCTCAGGAGAAATGGAAACAAACTCTGAGACTAAAGCTTCCGGGGAAGACGAGGCACCTGCGACTCTTGGATAGACATCTTCAAGGATCACCCCAGAAATCCAACAATCCCTCCAGAATGAGACCCAACCTCCCCCTCTAGCGTTCACAAAAGCATGTTTCCAGAACTCAGCTTCTTCCTTCATGATATTCTTCCACAAAGAGCAACCCAACCTTCTATCGCCCTTTCCAGCCCTCCAAAGCGGAGTATGGCAAGTGAACTTTATGTCAATTAACCTCAGCCACCAGGCCACTGGGTCAGAAGCATACTTCCACAACCATTTCGAGAGAAGCCCGGAGTTCATACACTTAATATCTAAAATCCCCAAGCCACCAGCGTCCTTAGCCACTTTACAAGTATCCCATTTAAGTAGATGGTAATTCCTCTTGGTGTTAGAAGCAGACCATATGAACTTCCTCATACAATTCTCCATCTTATGAATAGCAGACGCTAGTGCTTTCAGAATAGAGCACGCATACAATGGTTGGCTTGCTAGAGTGCTGCGAGTTAAACCGATCCTTCCACCAAGGGAGAGGAACCTTCCTTGCCACCCATCAAGTCTTGCCTGCATCTTGACAATTATGTTGTTCCAAATAATTATAGCATTTGAACTCGCACCCAGGGGAGCCCCAAATAGATCGTTGGCAAGTAGCTCCAGCCACATCCGAACAGATTGGCGAAGTGGCTAGACGAACTGGGAGAGCTCCACCGCCGTCGCCTACTATAATCAATCGCCGACAGGGGAACATTCTACCGTCCGGAAGCTGTGGCGCAATGGATCTCCGGCCGAACCAGAACTTAACAAATCGACTTCGCTACTATATGCCGCGTTCTCCGTAGTTTTCCATTTGTTTGTGAAAACAATTGATTAATCCATGGTGCGGTGCTCGTATGGACGCCATTCTCCTTTATCAATTCAAATTTAGAAAGAATTTAGACGTGATATTTCTCGGAAGACAAAAGAAACGCAATCAATTGACTAATTAAGAAGTAACAAAGCTATACGGTTCATATAACAGACAGAGAGCAGTACGAAACAGAGATACAAAGATACCGAAATAGAATCAACTATAACAGAGAGAGGTGGTTTACGAACAGAGAGACACACACCTATTCTCCAAATCCAATCGAGATCGTCGTACCTAGCGCCGCTCACACCAGAAGCACCGGCGATCTAGGCGCCGTGGTACTCGCCGTCGTCTCTGTTGCTTTCCTCGCCGTTGTTAAATCCAAATGAGTATGAAATAAAATAATTTTATTCAAATTGAAATAGAGTTACAATTGATCTACTCGATCCCTAGCCAAGCCAAGAGACTTGGCACTTTCGACAACAGAAAGAAAAACACTCAACCCCAACTTCCCAAGACAAGATCACCCAGTTCTCAACTCCTGTGACCTATCTACTGAAGATGGTACCCAAAACAACCCATGATAGATAAGGCAGAATCCCAAATTCTCTTACTACCAACTGTTACATTCAAAATGAAGAACTCACTCGCTTTTTATACTGAGTAGATGAAGTAGCTGTTTCCTACAAAGCGCTCCAGGTAGCGATTATGATTGCTTGCTGAGTAGAGGCGGTGGAGCTCTGGGAGAGCGGTTCTTCGATCTCTTGAGAGGATCAGAGAGCTGCAGATTGACAGATTCGAGATGAGGACACCAACTGCGATGGACGAAACCCAAAACTTGACCGTTCCTTTGCTATGCCAGCGACACCGTTTTAAGTGACTGAGACGACACCGTTTTAGCCAACAATTTCCCCCTTCGGCCGAGAAGTTGGAGGACCTGCAAAACAGAAGCAGACAGCACACCGGCAGACCAAGAATCCAAATAGGAAACATAAATGCATTCATTAAAAGCGGTTACATGAGGAGCATGATACCGAGGGGGATTGAGAGTACAAAATATGGAATATCGAAGATATTCCACCTAACTTGTTGGAACTGGACACCAGTTCTTAACTACCTAAATACCAAAAGACTCATTCCCTCTGAACAAAAGGCTCCAAAAGAAAACGTACATAAGAACGCTACTACTTAAAGACAAGAGAAATAGAAGATTTAGGCAGGAGGGGCAGAGACAGCAGAATCATCAGAGGAGGTATTGCCTTCGGAGATTGTAAACACAAGATCTCCAGACTTGCTGGATTCACCAGCAGATTTGGCCTTTTTCCCAGAAGAGGCCTTCTTAGCAGAACGAGATTTTGGAGGGGGGCCCAGAAGGGATGCAGAAGGAGGAGGAAGAGGAGATATGTCAGTTGGCAGATCAAGTACCATTAGCACGTTTAGTGCACTGACATACATTGTGGAGGAGATGCTCCGAAACTCTGACAGGTCAACACCTAGGTTGATCAACAGTCGTGTGATGATGGAACCGAAAGGTAGGAGACCTTTGTAATTTTCATCCCCTACAGGGAGAAACTGGCCAAACATGATGCTTGCAAAGTCGAGCTTCCTTCTTGCTGTTGCGTTGGCAATAATCCAGAGATCCATGTGGAGAACACAGTCCTGGTTGAAGGACCGGGGAAGGAAGACGTGAGTGAGGAAATAATGAAAAATCCTCAGTCTCGGAGGCAGCCAGGACACAGGAATTGGGACATCAGAGCCACCAGTAGGCTCTGTGGAGAAGTTTCTGTACTCCACTTCAATCTTGAACTCATGCTTCCAAAATTCAGATGGGTGAGCCAGACCGAGCCCCTGAGATGGAAAGCCGAGAATACCGTTGAGAGCATCTACTGGAATGGTTAACAGGTGACCATAAACTAGTGTGGTGAACCTTCTC